AAAAAAAAGTGTTTGGATAATATCGGATTCCAGCTAAAAGTTAATATCCGACAAAAGTACTTTGATACATTTTTTTTAAAGAACCACCATACTTGGTTATACAGAGCACTGATCGCCCTCCAGATATTATTACGTACACTCTCTCTGCTGTCTCCAGGTCTAGAAAGATCCTGGTCCGAAGGCTGCTGGTTCCAGCTCGATCCAGTGGGACCAGACATGCTGCGACCCACTCCGGGGTAAGCCCTGATCTGACTGGATAAACCCACCTGTGTCAGATGGTGGAGCTGTGCACCTGCAGTTAACAGTGAGTTGAGTCAAAGGTTTTCACCCCACACAAGGAAAAATAAAATCTATGGCCCTCAAAAGACTTAACCTGTGCTGCCCCCTACAGGTCGTGGTCTGGAGGATGATGGTGGGTCTTCATACTGTCCTCGATTAGAGTAAAGTGGCTCTTGCAGCTGATCTCCAGTGGAGGCATAGCCACTGGTACTTAGGCCCTGCCTGGATAAAACACAACGTGTGTCAGGACTGATTCAGTTAAACTTAGTGACCTGGACCTGGTTTCTTGGTTTTAGCAGACGCTAACCTTTGCAGGAGGCCTTGAACTGACGTAGGGGACATTCCCAGCTCCGCATATCTCTGCAGAAACAAAAAGAATACAACAATAAGAAACTTGCACAGTGATTAAAAATACATAGAAGGTTCTCAACCTGGGCTACCGGTCCAAGCGACTGTTGGCAAGGCAGGGCGTACTCCACTTACCCCGGAGCTACCTTGTGATGACGGGGACACCAAGGCGAAGGCATCGTCCAGGAGGGAGTGCATCTGTTGTCGAGCCTCCTCAATGGAGGGCTGGGGGGGCATGTACGGAGGAGGAGGTGGAGCTGGGTCAAAAACCTCATCGGTTGGAGATGGACTACCGTGATCTGGTGGCAGGTCTGGGTCTGACTGTATGAGACAGAGACAAGTGAATCACAACAGCTTTGCGTTTGCGATACTAAAATTACATAAACCTTTTTTTTTACCATATATGCCACATTGTTGAGGCCGGGGTATTTCCTGTAGGTGGCGCACTGGTCTATAAGTAGTCGATCCCTGTCAGTATCTGGAAGACTCCCAGGTCCTTGGTGTGCACGACAACCACGAGGAGAGCGCCTGCTCCTAGAAGGATAAATATGAACCTGTTTTCTCAGATCATTTTACCTACAACATTCAGTTTTTATCACAGTCCATTCTTCTGACCTCTTTCTTGAGTCTGTAGGGGTGGGAGGTGAGTGGGCATCTGTTTGCAGAATGCAGTCCATGTGGTCATGGGCAGAGCTGTAGAGCCGCTGTGCTGCCTCGGTCTGGACCGGCCCATCTCCAAAGGCATCCATGATGTCATCCATGGAGGGGAACTCACACTGGCCGCGCCTCTTAGCCCGCTGTCGCAGCTTGTTCCGATGATGCTCAATCTCTGACTTGTGTCTTAGCGCCACCTACAGGAAGAGTGGATTTGGGAGGAGGTAGTGTCAGGAAAATTCAGGGTAAATAGTATCATCATTTAACAAAACTCGTACCTCTTGGTTGACCTTCTCGGTAAGCGTGGGACTAGGTTGTGACGGGGGATGCTGCATTTGTTGGGGGCTGGGTCTTGGTTGCATGGCAATCAGCTGAACCTTGTTTGCCTGGCGCCGGATGCCGTCAGAGGAGCCTCGAGACAGACGGTCGACGTGGTCAAAGATGGAGGAGGAAGACAGCAGCTCATCTGGACCACTGCCTGAAGGAGCTGCTTAAGGAGAAGAACCACATTTTAGCTCCAGACACCAGTGATGGTGGTAACCATAACCATGTTGATAATTATGTTAGCCTACCGATTTTGCTTTTGCCTGTATCCCGGAATTTCGGGAAAGGAAAACAGAGTTAGCGTCAATAATTTATAAAGTTAAACTGTCAATGATGATGTCATTGTGTCTCTTACCGTTTTTTGGAGTTTTCTTTTGTGGTTTTGGCTCATTGGGTGTAACCACAGGTCTGGTGCTCTCTTCTGCCGACTCTCTGCCACTGGATTGGTCACTGCCTAATGAGTCGCCGTCTGACGGGCTGAGCCTACGAGTAGATGTCAGTGTGTAAAAGAATGTGCCAATGACTTTACAAGAAATGGAGAATGAATATTCCTGACCTTCCCCTGCGGCGGCTCGGTCGGCCAGCCTTAGTGGACGATCCTTTAGATTTTGGCGTGTTGATGTCTCCACCATCAGACGGTGTTACCTCCTTGACGGGTGCAGGCAATGGCCCCTGCTCTTGAATCACCATGATGTCATCTTTACTGTGCTGACCCAGGTGGAGCTTTGCGAAGTCAAAGCCTTTCACGCTAGGAGCCTGAAGCTAACACAACACAAACGGCCCATCTGTTAGACTGGAGAAGCTAACAAAGCCTACACAGCTACTGTGAAACGTCTTACCTTCTGTCTTTGCTGGATTGAGTTAATGGCATCAGGCTGGAACTCCAGTTTCTCTGAGCCACAAAGTTTCCAGTAGAGTATGATAATAATAAAGACGGCAAGCAGGACTGGAACAACGACGCCAACGATTAGCCAGATGCTATTGCTCTGAGTCTCTGACGGAGGGACAGATATCGTCTCCACAGCTAGAAAGAAGTGAGGGACAATGAGAGAAAAGAGGAAAATATTTGCCCATGCCTTAATTCCCATCATGCTTTGGAAGATGCTGATACTATGTTTTAACCTACGTTGGGCTAGCGGTCTTTGGACTCTGTGCCCCAGAATGATGGCAGCTCTCTGTAGGTCCAGGCGGTTCAAGGTGGCAGCTGTCGTCTCGGCTGGGACCCGCTCACCTCTGGGACCCTCTACAAAATAAAAGACCTCCAGAGGGCGCTCTGCTCCTGACAACTTTGCCACCCGCACAACCTGAGCAATTAAAGTTCCGCAGGAGCACGTTTACAAAACCATACGTCATTGAATTCTTTGAAAAATTAAACTCATATAACTTTTTACTATTTTTAAAAATATTTTAATAACCACATATCGATTGTAAAGGCAGAAATATTTAGCCCAGAGTAACCCAATTCTAGTCAAACCCTGCTGTATGTGCTTGTGCTGTCACCTGCAGGCTGTTGTTGCCCACTGCAGTTGCTCTTCTCCAGCGCCGCCTGCTGGACTCCTGCAGTCCTTCCTCTAGCAACATAGCCAAACGTCTCTCCAACTGCGCTTTAAAACTCCTCTGAGCCACAGTCTGGTCCTGGACACCGAGGAGCACTGAGAGAGGACAGAGACACTGTGCTATTGTCCTCCGAGACTGTCACGTTTTCTGTGACTAGACACAACAATTATGAAGTCATCACTGGTGTCAATGGTATTTACTGTGGAGCATTTATCCCCTTTCTACAGGAGGGGAAAAACACTGGTATCTGGCAAAATACATAAGAATGTTGGGAAAATATTAAAATGAAGTGGCTTTTGGTAAATTTCTGGAGAGATTCAATTGATTAATCAGGTTAACATAAGTTAGCATAAGTTTCCTTTAGCGCCACCACCCTTTCATGACATGCCAGTCTCTCTGCGATTTGTCAAGTTATGCAGCAGAAACACGTGCATCGTAGAATTAATTATGGATAAAGAAAATGTAAAATTTAGCTCCAAACAAAAAAGACACATACCTGGCGCCTCCTAGGGGCGTACAGAAAATTCTCAATCCATGCTCCAACATGCTACAGTATTTTTGAAGGATAGTCTGAGGATCATTTTGGACAATAAATGTTTTAAATGTTATGACATCTGACCTAAAGCTATTATATTCTAAAAACCCTTGTCAATATATGGTGATTACATTATTGATTATTGTGCAGTTAAAAATATTTATAAGTATTTTAATCTACTAACATCCATACTTGACAGCCTACAGATATGAGGACGACTGTTGTGTACAAGTTGTGGAATGCCCCCTGCTGGCAACCTACACACCTACATGTGTTCTATTTCCCCAGCTTCACTTTTAATACCTCATGGTTCCATCTTCTATCATGCGTGGACCGTGGTCTATTACTGTAAGACAATCATTCTTGCACATAACGGCTGTTTGCATTCCCACAGTAGCAAAAGTCCTGAGGGGATTATGCAAATCAGTTTCCTGATCTGTAAATAGAAATGCAACCACTGAGCCTCCAGACTGCGGAGGGCGATGTTGTGGAAAATGCAGCATGAAAATATATATCTCTGATCTGGCTCTGGTTATATGTCTGGGAATCAGGTTCTTACCTGTACGGACCCAGGTGGAACGCAAATGATAAGAGGTGTTTAGCTCAGGGTAGTGGAAAGCTGCAGGTGAAATAAAACGTGAAATTTAAGATGTTAAACAAGTGAAACCAAAAATCACAGCTTTTCTGTCGGTGAAATGTACAGCAACATACGTTCGGCAATCTGAGTGACGGGAAACCCCATGTAGAAGCTGAATTCCACCACGCTGAGCTTCCTCAGATGATCGCTGACCTCCGACCCCAGAAGATAGCCTCGGCCATCACGCACCACAAACATGATGTCAACCGGAACCTTCTTCTCAGTCGCCGACCGGGACACGCCCATGGTGATGTTTAAAAGCTGGTACAAGATGCATCAATGAGGACATCTTGACATTTGACATGTCCCATGTACCTACGCAGTGATGAACATGTACCTGTACTGTGACGTTTCCCGCCTCGTGTGACCGCTTCCGTGTCTCAGTGTACGCCATCATCAGCCCCCTCTCCACTCGTTCACTGAAGTTACAGACGCGGACGTCCACATGGGTGGGGACAAACTGCAGCACACAGTGGACCTGGTACCTGAGGTCCGGTACGGAGTAAAGCGGTGCTACAACAGGGATCAGGCCGAATGAGCGTGGAGGATGGCGCAGGACATTGATGACGGCAATGGCGGTAAAAATCACTGGTCCTGATACGACACGGAACGCAAAGCTGGACGGTGATCTGAGGAACTGAGGAGACAGACGGACTGTCAGACAACTGACATCACTGGTCCGTGTTCACTGTAGGACAATTTATAACAGGAAGTCAACTTTTCTTCTACACCGGGGGGTCAAACTGAGTGGGCCGGACCAGTACAGTCATAACTTAATTACTTTTTTACTTTACTTTTTTTTCAAATTATTTGTCAATGTGACACAACACACCACTGCACACACAACCAATTGTGCCCTCTGTCAGCAGGGGGCAGCTTTAAGCTCCCGGGGAACAAATCAGCTTCTCCACCACTAAGTTCAAGTATATTAGAAAATATTTATAATTAATGAAATATATTTTGACAAAACATCACAACACAACATGTAGTGTTTGTGCATTTTTCTCACTTTCAAAATGTATCAAACCTCTTTGACACCCCTGTAGTACACAGCCCAAAGAGTGGGTGTGAAGGTTAAGAACATTCTCGTCAGAATCATTAACAGCATTTAGGTTGTGTTTACCTGCAGCTCCACCGAGCGGTTGAACTCCCTCTTCAGAAGATCTCGGACTTGACTGAAACCCACGGACGAGCCTTTGGAGCTGACTGGAAACACCCACAGATACTGGGCTTAGTAAAGGTCATTCAGATCCCCCTCCTCTTCCATGACTGTGCCCACCTTACCTATTCTGACCAGGTACATCTCCGGCTTGGTGATGTTACAGATGTAGTGCCTGATTGGTGGGGTTTGTGCTGCTTTTGTTGTGGTGACCGGTGGCATTCTGGTCAGACTGATGGCTGTGATCTGGGTGGTGCTGGTGCTGCTGGTGGTGCTGGTGGTGGTGGCCTTGGTAGTTATGGTGGCTGGCTTGGTGGTGGTTGTTGTGGTCGCCTTGGATGTGGTGGAGGTTGTCGCCTTGGTAGTGATAGGCGTGGTTGCCACGGTGGTTGCCTTGGGGATGGTGGTGGTGGAAATCTTGGTTGGAGGACCCTCCACAGGCTCCTCTGTGACCAACGTTGGCCTCTCTGGTCTGTCTGGGCTGGTGGGTGGTGCCAAAGGGGGAGGAGGAGGTACCCAGCCAGTGGTGTTGGAAGGAGGTTGGAGAGGGTATTTGGCAATTACTGGGACTTGGTGTTTGGGTTTTGGAGCAGGAGGAAAGGGGCTGGAGACGGGTTTGTAGGTGGTTGGTGGAGCAGATGGTTCCTTTTCAATTGTGAGGTTGGGAGAAAGGTCGAGGGGAGGGGTGGGCTCCACCACAGGGTGCTTTGGTTCCCATTCGGGGGAAGGACCAGAGCTGGGAGATGGAGACGGAGGTGGTGGGTGAGGTCGTGTTGTAGTAGGAGTAATAGGGGGTTTGGAGACGGTCTGGTTGACCTGGTCTTGGTCTCCCTCCCTTTCCGTCACCT